ACCACTGATTTCAAGTGGCTATTTTATTTATTTAAAAAAAAATATGCTTATATTAATATTGTTATACTAGTAGCTACTATAGTTGTTATTACAAGTTACTCTTATCAGATGCGATAGAGGAATATAACGTAGAATGTATGCTCTACTGTAAGATTATACTCGAGTTATTATAATGATTATCTCATCAAACACGTCAAATATGTTGAATATTGTAACACTTTGCCAAAAATATCTGAGAGTAATACTGTTCTTAAAGTATACGTATCATCAAAAACAGGTTCATTAGAGTATACTTCATTTATAAATTTTAAAACTTGGGCTTTTGTTTCTAATTAATTTAAACTGCAAATTAGTGAAATTATCACAATTAGAACTTCGAAATCAAACTAAGTTTTGTTACAAATTCAATTGAAACATTTTCTTTTAGCACTTCATTGAAATATTCCTTGAACAAAAAAGAACTACCATATAGTCTCGTTTTCAACACAAGTACGGGAATTAAGGGATCATTTAAATAGCACACTTCGTGTTCATCGCTTAGTGGCTGAAACTTTTTTAAAGCTTGAATAGTGTTTTCGTCATTGAACTTTAGTTGGTAATAAATGCAAAGTGCGTGATTACGACTGATAAAAACCATGATTTTTTTATGAAGAGAAGAAAAGAGTGAAGAAAATAAGCAAATTGAAAAATATTTACTTGGAGTCATTGAGACTTTGATTGTTTAACAAAAAAAACCAAGGTATGGCCACGGTGATGACCACGGTGATAACCAAGGTATGACCACGATGTAACCAAGGCGAGAACCAAGGTGAAAACCAAGATATGACCACGGTGACAAAACTATTTATGCGACATACTTTTTTGAAAAAACACGACACTCTTTTCTAAAAACATACGACACTGATTTTTTTAAAAATGCGACACTTTAATTTTTTTCTTGCGACATCGTTTTGGCAAAAGGTGTACCTTCACTGTATCCGCATGAGATAAGGTGGGTTCTGATTTCCATTAAAGGTTAAAGAAAGCTCAGCTTCCTGCCCTAGCCTTTTTTTTTAACTTTTACACGGAAGCTTACTCTGTCTTACCTGTCTAAAATGAATATTGCCAACCTACCCCCACTCGTCATATCTCGTAGTACCTGATATCGTATGCAGGCACATTGGCCATTTCAAACTGCTACTCCATAAAGCGTGTGTAGTTGATAGCGGCAAACGGTTACTATGGAAACTCTAAAACGTCTCCAAGCAGAAAGAAGAGACAATAAACACACAGAAATCAGCTCCCATCGTTTCTTAGTATGTTTATCAGTTGACTTTGTGTGACAATAACTTACAAAATGATGATTTTTTTTATTATGATTTAAAGGAATAGTTAAGGTTTGGTAATATTGAACTTGGCTGTAAAAGTGTCAACATATTTTTCATCACCAATGTATGTTTCCTTGAAGGAAGGTCTTTCAGTAATACCCTTAATGAATTCAGCTAATCTAGGATACTTCTTGACTGCCTCCCATTCATATCCATTCAAGAATAGCCTGTGGAATCCGAGAATACGAGCAAGGAGGGGTGCAACTGCGATATCAGCTATAGAATATTCATTACCAAGGAAGTAGGGGCCTGTAGGAGATTGTTGAACCAAGAGTTCGTTGATCTATAATATAAGAAGTTATTTTTTTTTCCTGAAAACACAAAGCATATACACAGTCACTTGTTGCACAACTTACACGATCCAAGGCAGGATTGACGTTCTTTTCGTAATCAGCAAAGGCATTTTCTGCTTTGATATTGAAAACGTATTTGAAAAATTCGCTTTGTACTTTAGAAGAATAATATTCAATAAAGTAACGAACATATGCGCGCTTCAATGGATCTTTAGGTAAAAGGCTATCATCACATGCATAAATAAGAAAAACACCGCATTTGTTTTCTGTACCAACTTACTTTTTCTCAGGAAAACGATCGTTAAGATATTCGACAAGTACCAAAGATTCAGCAATGTGCTTGTCACCCACTGTAAATGCAGGTACTTTTAACTCGGGATTGATGTTCTTGTACCTAATGAACATCAAACATGAGCCAAGATGAGTAATGTAGATGTCATTCTTTTTACCAATCAGGCTTATTTGACAAGTCAATCTCGACTGTTTCATAATCAGCGCCAACTTCTCTTAAAGTAATAGCGGCACGCTGAGCGTAAGGACAAATGACAGCGTTATAGAAAGTGATTTTATCTGTGTACTTTGTTTAGTTTACAAAAAAGATAGGCTCTTAATATTGCCTTTTTTTATATATCTTTACCAGAAGACATTGTTTATTGTTACTATTATTATTACTATACAAGAGGGATTCCAAGAAAGAAAGAAAAAGAGGGTCGCTGTCTTTTTTTTTATATTATCTGATTATTAATGCTTATCGAATTACTAATGTTTGACTTCAAATCATCGCTGTTGTCGGCTGTATGACTCTTAGGTCATTCTTTTTAGCAATGGCGATATTACTGATAGTATAAGCTTATCCTCGGTAATCAAGCACAAGTCCTTTTCTCTTTTCGAGATGTTAGTATATTAATGTACACAAAGAGAGAAAAAGGAGGAGTAAATAGACTTTGGATCTTTGGGAAACACACAAACAAATAGAGAAGTTTACTCTTTTTCTTTCCTATCTTCTTGTCCTTTATTTAATGCCTCATCGAAATATCTCGAGAAATAGGCCGAGAAAATGATAATTGATGACCCCACAGTCTATTGCTTCGTCAAGATCCTAGTAAAATACTAAGATGCAGATCCTTTTTTTTTTTCTTTTTTTCTTTTCTGTCTATTCTCGAAGCAGTTGAAGAATGCAGCATAGACTCACAGAGGGTAAATTGATAATGTGATGAAAGCCCCAAAACAAAGCATAGCCTCCTATTCTTTTATTATTACTAATGCATAATTCAGTTTAACCATAAACACTGCTTGTACCATCTGCATATATATTTTCAAGCAACCCCTGAGAAAAGGTGATGATTAAAAAAGAAGCGTATTTTGTGACTATTGCCTTTATAAGTTCGGTTAATTTACGAACAAATGGTTATTTTGCCTTGAAGCTAAACAGGATTTCCAAGGACTCTTCCAATGAATTTTATGTCAATATTGACGTAGGAAGCATTTTCTTGTTCAGCAACATAAAGTCATATTCATTTTCTTTGGAAAAGGAACTACGATAGCTTCATTGTATCATCAGTTATGGATATTCCAAAAACAAAGGACCCTCTCTCCGATTTTGCTTGTTTAATTCGATGATGGCGTTGTCAGCATCTCCCCCAAACGAGCTCTGTCCTCTTCTTGCAACAATTTAAATGATAACCCTTTCCTTTTCATATTTGAATAAGTATACTTATTTGTTTTGGTTGCCCATGTGGTGCAGGAGAAGCTCCTGTGATTTTGGAAGAAGTCGTAGAATTTCTAGATAGGGTTCATCTGGCAACATTTGCGAACAATGGCTGACAAAAAGAAAAGAGATTCTAGGCATGACACGGAATGTATTAGGCAAGTCGTGGCGGAGCCAGCGTCTAGGATTCTCTATTGTTTATGTCTGTCAATTGAAATTCTGGAAGCTAGTACTTTTTAAGGTTTAGATTATCTGGCATGATAGAGTTATCAACCAGTGTTACCACACAGTACGCCCAACATAAAATCCGGCTTTTTCCTGTTGGTGTCGAATTTGTCTATCCTATTTATGATTACAATACAATCATTAGTATGCAAATAAGCGTAAATATACATGAGTATATATACTCACATGGCATAGATAATATTATCGTCAGTATTTGCCAGGAAGAATCTTCTTATTGAAGACAATAAATACTTTTTTGACCTTTATTAGCACCCTGTTTATCGACTGCATTAGAAGAATGTGTTTCTTTGAATTAGTTCAACTTGCATAAACAACGTTTTTGTAGTAAAGGACTGTGCTGCTTGGTGTTCTAGGAACATTGGGCTTGGCTTTATCAGCAAATCTTTTGAAGGATTTAGCTTTTTCTTTCTCCAGATATCCCATGATACACTTGCTGCTATTAAACTTGTTGATAGGAAGTATATGAGAAAGCGAACTGGTTTAATTAAGTTTAATTTAGTCAAAGTTAGTTTTTTGCCGAAGAAAGAAGGGACAGCACTTTGAGATCTTGTAAAATACGCAAGCTACTTAAGTCATTATTTCCTCCGCGGCTTTAATGCTTTTGCCTCGAAGCTTGTTAAGAGCCGTAGTAATTTTGATATTGTTTATAATCAACTAAACGTAATAAGATATAAATCAGCTATAGCTATTCGCATGTCTATTTACCTCTTCTTTTGGCAGCCATTCTTTTTGACCGTTTCCGTGGAAATAAGGATTTTGCTATTTGCATAATATACGACTTAAGCAATTCAATTTTACAGCAAACAGTATATGCTGTACTTACTTTACAAACACTCCAGCTTGTGAAATATTAAAGAAAAATATATATAAAAAAATACATATATATAAAAGACTGGCCACAAAATTCATTGTTCTTATAGACGCGTCATACCCAGTCCTCATTGGCTCGTGGCAAGTTCATGCAGTAATCCTATTTTTATTGATGAACTCTCAGCATAATAAAGACATTATTACAGACTCATCGACATGCACTTCTCTTATACTTTAGTGTTGTACATTATGCTGTGTAGGTGTGGTTTGTATAGCACTGTTTGCTGTGGAAATAGCAAAACCTGGAAACAGTTCAGCTTTGTAGTTCTTTTGATCTCGCAGGAGGAAATCAACATAATGGTTTTTATTTAAGCTTAATTTCAATCCTACATTCCAAATCCGAAAAAGTGACATTCTTTCTCCATGGTTAAAAAGCAAAAAAAGAAGACACCAATAACACAGATATCAACAGCCAAAGCAAAGTTTAAACGCTCTCACGCCGAAACAGCTCGCTTGATTAGACGATTCCATGTGTTGAATAAAGAATTAGCAAAATGTAGAGCCAGCCCACAAACATTAAAGAATCGAGAAGCTGAAATCTTGAAAGAAATGGAATCTCTTGGTGGTTTAGACTGGTATCAAAAGGCTTCACAACTGGGTCAGAGTAAAGCACGAGGAGGTGATTCTTCAAAATGGTTGATCCAAACTTTAAAGTCACACTGTAAAGAAGCTTTGGATAAGACGACAAAACCATTAAAAGTACTTGACGTGGGTGCCGTTGCTCCTAATAACTACGAAGCCTATTCGTCATGGATTACAGCAATACCAATTGATCTTAACCCACAGCATCCAAACATTCAAAAACAGGACTTCCTACGCATGCAACCACCTGCCCTTGCTGATAGATTTGATATTGTCTGTTTGAGTCTGGTCATCAATTTTGTGGGCGATCCAAAAGATCGAGGTAAGAGTTGATGCTATGTAGTAAGCTTAATGAGTATAAACACCATTTTCTTTAGGACAAATGCTCATCCATACAAGAGATTTTTTCATGCCAATAACAACAACAGATCGCCTACATTATCTATTTCTGGTTGTACCTTTACCATGCGTTACAAATTCTAGATACATGACGCACGAGCATTTACTAGAGATGATGGCTTCAATTGGATATACAAACTGCATTCATCACCACTTTTCAAACAAGCTTGCATATTATCTGTTTGAGCTAGTCTGTAAGCCAAATACCAAGAATATAACCTGGAAGAAAAAGATTATACCAGGAAAAGAAGGTGGCGCTCGCAATAACTTTTGCATCGTTATGCAATAATATTTATTATGTACAAAATCATTCATTATCTTCTGGTAAAAAACCTCCACCAGGGTATGTATCATTATTATCATTACTAGTAGCACTATAGACAGCCCATACATCATCATTATGATCTCTCCTGCTGGCATCCTTGCTGACACCGTATTCACTGTCTACACGCGCTTTAATAATCAATCTCTTAACCAACTTTCTCCAGCGTAAATAAACTTCCTTTTCTTGTTTTTCAATAGCTTTTAATGCATCATTCTTTTCTTGTTCTTCAAGTGCCTAAGACATTAATCAGCCATCGCTCCTTCTGGGCAATTTGTTAAACACCTACCTCCATAAGAACATACTGGTACTCTTCTGCAACCACTATACCATCGATAATAGGTACTGAGCGCATCTTTGTAAACTCAAATCCTGTCTATGTTCATTTTTATTAATCATGCTGTCTGTATTCCCAGCAACAGAGGCAACTTACTACTGCATCAGCATAGTCGATGCCAAGCATTTTGGCAACCTTTCCAAGGCCATTAACTAGATAATAAAGAAGAAGTTTATATTTTGCTTAAATGAGATATATTGTTTCTTACTTGGGATATGAACAGCTCCTGGCGGCAACATCTCCGGTGTAAATAGATCAATATTACCATAAGCATTTTTAGGCACTTTCCCCTGTAAACAAACACAAGTTAGCTCCTGCTATATCTAGTATTACTTTCATACTTACATTCACAACAGGATCAGGCACAATTTTCCGCGTTTGCCATTCACCATAACAAGGAACCAACACTTCCTGTCCATCTTGTTTTGCCATCTCCTGAAGTCTTTTCTTCTCCAAAGTTGTTGCTAGCGACTTTACCATCTTGATAGGTTGCTCACCTTCAATTATTTCTCTTCCCTGCTTTCTATAACTATCCGCAGTGGCCACCGTTTTCACACACTGTCGAGGATATATCTTTTCTCCTCTGATACTTCCCAACACAGGCTCCTTTGGATATAGCACTTCGAATTTCTTCAAATGTCTCTCTAAGGCATACAGTGGATGATTTTTGAAACCACCTATACTCGTAGGCATTCTCTCCTTCTTTTCTTGTTTTTCCAAATCTTGTATTTCAAGTCTTTCCTTCTCTCCCATTTTTGGCTTGTGACAGATCATAGCAAGGAATACTTCAGACCAAGGCTTTAAACCAGAACTTTGTTCGCGTTTTGTAAGCGGTCTATCTCTAATTCGTATTGCTTTTTCCAAATTCGACGTATATCGTCTAGTGACATCAGTAATATTGTGCCTTTTTTTGTCATCCATTGCTAATACATATGATAGCTGATTACTACGATTTAACGTAGCAGGTTCCATCAATGCAGGTTTATTGATGATTCCTCTGACTGGATCAACACATATCCATTTCTTTGACTCTGGACAGTAAACTTCAGCCCACACACAAGGAGGCTTTGCGTTCTTTTGCCTTAGTTGTACGTTGGGATTCACATAAGACTTTGTTGGCGTACGAAATTGAAATAGTAGGTTTGATTTTTCATCTGTTTCTTCTGCATTACTTCCGTCCTTTTCAGCGCCATTTTGTCCCTTTCCGCTTTTCTTTTTGGATGCACTCTCGGATGGTATCTTGTGTGGTACTGGTTGAAGTGAGCATACTAATCGAGCATCACAACCACAGAATCTTAAAACTGCAACGAATAACTCGGCGCATGTATCACTCGTCCCTTCCTTTTTTGAAAGTAAGTTTACAAAATCATCCAAACTATCAATCCAGTCGGCATTCTCGTTTGATTCGTGCTTTAAGATCATCTCTTGTAAAACGTCGTAATTTATATCAGCAAAGTCACTGTATGGTCGAGTTATTAATCCTGGACCAGTGACTGAAAAATAATTGCTCCACCAGTTCAATAGCCATTTAATGCCAGTAATCACACCTGATTCTGACGTTTCTTTGGATAAAAGATTTCTTGCATGATCAGGCACAATCTTTAAGCACTGGGACTATAGTCAAATTAGAATACGCATAGGTATAATAAAATGTAATATACATTACTTTTATCTTGTTGCTTGAACACCATCTATTGCGTATGATATAATGCGCTGTTAATGCTATAACATGGCCATGATGTATCCATTCACGTAGGTTACGTTGATATTCTATTTCCCATTTGGATTTTCTATTTAAAGTCAGAATAATAAATAAATCAGTTTATGCATCGTTCTTACTTCAACACTGCTCTTGGCGTCTCAAACACAACCTCGACATCCTTATAAACAACATCGGTTGCTGATTCTTCAACATGCATTTGTTCAGGAAGCGTAGGTGGTAAGTGAACCGTTTCCCAGTCAATTTCGTCCTCGTCCTCGTCGTCTTCCTCATCCTCTTCTTGCTTATCTTTTTCTTTACCTTCCTCCATTGTTATAAAATCACCTTCTTCGTTTTCCCAAGTCATTAAAGTATCGTCTTGAAGATCAACTATAACACTTTCCTCCTTTTGCTTGCCTTTAGATCTCTTTTTGACAGCTGTCTCCGAATTAGGGAGATCCGCCCTTCTTTTCCGAGATGCATTCAGACTTGATTCCGGTTGATCTTCAGGCTGATCTGGGATATTCCTCGGCCTGTAAGCGGTTCTTTGACTGCTTGACTCGCTTTGCTTCCCACGTTTTCTTTTTCCGAGATTTCTCGTAGTTGCCATTGCTGGAAGGAAAGGAAAGAACAGAATGATATACAACTGCGCACAGAGACATGTCAACATTACACTCCGACCGAAACCCTACTCTTTAAAGTTAAAAACGAAAATCCCCCTTTTCTTTTTCTTCTTTTTCTTTAAAAATATAAACACACGATGGATATTGGCGAACTGGAGAATCCTTACAGCTATGATAAATGTGGATCCAAGCATACTCAAACTGGTACATCTGGGCCACTTCAAATTGGCGACTATGATGAAAAGCAGAACGGTTGCTCTAAACAACAGGCTAAAGCCACTGAAGAACACTGTGACAATAAGTTGAGGGAAGAACCAAAAGAGGCTCCACAGAAATAATTGATCTTTTTTATCACCCATACCCGAAAATATCTATATCATTTTATTTTATTTTTACCAGCTTTCGTTATACTCGGAGATACCTGGTGTACATATAATAAATCCCTTTTGTAAGCAAATTGAACTAGAGTCTTCTTTGCATTATGTCATGTTTTTTTTTTTTCAAAAACATACTATTTTTGTGTTCTTATAAATAGTCTATTCAAACAGAACGTTTCTTCTAAATACACAAAAGACATTATTCCCTTTAGTAAAATGCTCCCATGGAAATACTATGTTTTTGCGCTTTCCTTTCCTTTAAGAATATCCTTACTACTACTGTTGGTGCAAGGATCAAAAAGAATGTAACTTTACCAGATTTTATTTCATTTGCGTCATTTTAATAAGATATGCCTAGGAGCAACTAACTTGCTAAATTAAAAAGAACTCCCAAGCAACAACCATTTCTTTCTTTTTCTTAGGCACTGTAAAAAGGCTATATTCGCGTAGGAACTTGAGTGTAAATTGAGTTATATAAGAGTTTCTGACGCGTGATAAGCAAATCTTAATAGATCAAAAGAAATAACTTACGTTATATAAGAGTAAAAGCCAAAAAATAAAGTGAACTTTACTGATACAAGACTTCAAGATAAGCCTATCGGTAAATAAGAGTGTTAAAAGAAGAAATAAAAGTATGGAAGAGTAATAGAAAATACTTTAGAATACAAAATGTATTAGAAAGTAAAAGGTAAGTGAGTTGTACCGAGAACTGTACTGTACTAAACTGATTAATTTATTTAACAAATAGTGAACATATTTATACTAAAGCATTATTACTGAGTGTCAGTAAGGGGAAAATACATTAGTAGCAAGGTTACAAATAGGTTTTACAAATAGACTTTGATATTATAGTGACCACCAGATCTTAAAATAAGATCAATATAGAACAATATAATGCTAAGACTTGTGAGATAAAGTAAAAAAATAAAATAAAAAGGTGATTAAGCAATTGTTGCTTAAGATATAGGATAGAATAAAGGTTATTGTGATCTGAAGATAAGATGATTCTTTAGATGATTCTTCGATGGTTCTTCGATATTGTTTATTCCATGAATAACTTGGGGATATTTATACTAATTCAATATTGATAAATATGCGATTGATAATAATGTAAATTTTGGTTTTGTGTATAGGTTGGTTTATAGTTTGGGTTGATTTAGTTAATTTAAAGGGTTGTTAATTGTATGTTGTTGAATACGTTGATAATATGTCGTTATGTGACCATCAGATCTTCTTGTAAGATCAGATAAGATTGCAAGATAATAATTTCTTGTGATAAACTTGTAGAGATACAATGAAGTTTTAATTGCTTCAAGGGACTTGTATTTACTTGAGATAATAGTATTAGAGGTTTACTTTGAGCACAGAATAAAGTTTATTGATAAAAAAATAAAGTAAAGTAAAATAAAGTAAGTAAAAATAAAAAGTAAATAGAAAAGTAAAGTGAACAAGGGGAATAACCAGAGGTTATTTATACTGTTGTAAATGTGGGTTCTGTTATGGCTTAAGGTTATGTTGTTTGATAAGTTTGTACTTGATAGTTATAGTTTCTTGATAGTAATGTAGCCTTGTAATAAGGTATTTGATGATAATTGGTTTGATAAGTGACCACCAGATCTTGTATAGATCAAATAAAGATAGCAATAAGGTTTGCTTGATAAAATAGGGTTACAATGAAGTATAATGTGACTTCAAGGGACTTTTATGAATCAATAAAGAGTTATATAAGAGGTACAATAAGAATTTATTGTAAGAATAAAAGTGATAATAAAAATAAAAGTAAATGTGATGCTAAAAGTGTAGGTTTGTTGCTGTAGAGGATAATGTTATTTATACTATATTATTTTTTTGTTGGTTTCCTATTTGGGATGACTTCGTCCTTTGACAACTTGGTCCTTCAACAATGTCGTCCTCTGAAACAAATTCCCAAAAATAGTAGTTACAATATATAATTATGATAAATAATAAAAATGATTAAAACTTGCATATGCATGCAGTGGTAATGGTACTGGTAGCAGATACCAAAAATGGTATCAACAGTATCAAGAGAAACCACATCACGTGACCTAACAAAAAGCGGCAAAAGATGAGGAGTAAGAGAATCGAACTCTTGACCTTCAGATTTGGAATCTGACGCTCTACCAGTTGAGCTAACCCCCCGATCTGAAAACTTTGATCGATATTTATTATATGTCAAAATCGTTATTGTTCGAGCCGAAATTTTTGCTTGTGCGGCTTGCACATTTTATGCTTGCCCCATGATTTAGATTTTTCTTTTTTTTCTTTACCCAAATTTTTCGTTGAGCTTTGATATTACAGTAAGCGCAACGTCAAAGGGCGGGTTTTTTAAATACCAATAGGTACTGTAGTATCCACACTACTACTCAGTGCTTAAATACAATATCTAGAGTTGAACCTAATGTTGCTATAAGATCTGTTACACTTTAATCAAATATAGTCAACTCAGTTTAAATACCTCAGCTTCTTAATATATAATTATAGATTGTGCTATCATCTCTTTTCTTTTTACTTTATTCTGAATAAAGATACAACACAGTCTCATCGTATTTTTACTTTGCTTAAACCTATCCAAATCCAAATACAACAGGTACTGTCGTATTTGACCATGTCTAATACTAATCTTTACTTGTGAGATTACATTTGACTTAATTACATGTACCTTAGTACTCCGACTTCTTTTAAAACAACCTAGTTTCTTTTTGCTATGAGTTCTTCCTTTCACTTCTAATAAAAGAATAAAACAGAGACTCATTACTGACGTGTTTGATGAGATAATCATTATAATAACTCGAGTATAATCTTACAGTAGAGCATACATTCTACGTTATATTCCTCTATCGCATCTGATAAGAATAACTTATAATAACAACTATAGTAGCTACTAGTATAACAATATTAATATAAGCATAAATAATGTCAGTGACAACATAATATAAATAGCAGTCATAGATTCTCTACCCAAGTAAACCCTCACACAAACTTAATATAATAATATTCAGCTCTTCTTAATAAAGAATCTAATTCGCAAGTCATCGACTTAATAGCCTTTTTTCAATAACACTAAAGCTGAATACAATAATTACTTCTTTGCTTTTGTTCTAACATTACCGAGTACTATCAACAACAGCAACCAATACCCCCAAGTACTTTTTAACAGCAGTGTAGAAAGTTTTATTAAATTGGATTACCTTTTAAACATTCTTCAAAAACATTTACTGAGTGCTATACAAATGCTCTAAGATGCTTTGGTGGAACATCATTACATGCCTCAGTTATTCTTGTAGATAAATCCTCCTTGGCTTGAAATTGACTGCGTTTGACCTTGTTTTTGACTATGGACCAAAATTACTCAATAGAATTAAGTTCAGGCGAGTAAGGAGGGAGATAAACGCACTTACTAGTGGATGATAGTAGCGTTTGTTAGGTCCATCGAACACATAAGCACCTAGTTTGTCGATAACTTCGACCCTTACTACTTCACGGTTCATACGATCCATGCCATATATTCTAAAGTGAAGTGGGACGTATTCTTCTCTAAGGTTCTTAGGAGGTCCAGACAGCATCTTCCATAGCTTGAACAGCTCGGCTACTGAAGGTGGTAGTCCACTTGCTTTAAAACTTCTATCTCTCGGAGAAATCGACATATCAATGGCTCTTTATTCGCCTTTTTCTTGGCGACCCACTGAAGCTTTTTTGTTGGTGCTTTCTTTTTGTTCTTTCCCTCCTGGAGTTCACGGCCTTGCTTCTCAGTACTGTTGCTGATTTCGTCCAGAAGAACAGCTTATTGTGGGTAATTGGGAACATCAAGTATGATGGGTCGAACAGACCTAGGGGGCACGGGAACCACCTTAAGTTAGGCGTTGACTGAGAGCGAAGGTATTGTGCACCATCAGCGGTGGTGGATGGCAGTTGACCAGGCGTAGATTCTACAAGACCCAAAGCTCTTGTAATATGACTCGTACATTGCTCGCATTTGACAGATATTTCATTTTGTTCTCGGGTACAACCCTCTGCTTGGTTGCAGACCACTAAATGTGTCCGTGAGACTGCTCTCAACAAGCGATGGCTAATGCTACGGGCGCTATCTTTACCCACTATTTGTGATGCTGTCAACAAAGCGTTTCAATGTGTGGCGTCGCATTAAATTTACTCAGGAGCAGATATCTTTTCATAATCTTTGATGTGGAATACAAATTTATAAAGTTACCATCTTGATTTGTTACTTTTTAAACGCTGTGTGATATGTTCCACACTAGCATTATCCAACGAGAATTCTTCTTGATGGCATGATGATCGTCTTCATTTGCCATATCTTCTTGATGGAGATGTTCAAAGGATATTTAGAATAAGGGTATTTATAGTCAAAGATTTGAAAGTTTACTACGTAGCGTGTATGAACATGCTTTATGAATTTACTTGTAGTTGATTATGATTCCAATTGCTCTATTTTCTACATGTTTAGCAATACCATGTTGTCAAAGGAGCTATCATCGGGAGATCTAGCTATTGTATTTGTTCTTTGATGTGCTAATTCTACTGTTGATTACAACAATTCACTCTCTTGTAAAGTTGATGTTTACTTATTCATCTTGTTTTAGTGATAAAGTTCTCTTTTTCCAGCTGTTTTAGTTCCATAATGAGACGCTCATGTTTCCTACATGGGTATTGCTCTTAGAAAGAGTATCTTACGTTTTTTTGCTCTCAAATAATTGTGCTATGAGCGTAGTATCAATTATCGTCAACAATTTGAGTTTTTCTCTCTGTATATAATATAAACATCAATTTATAAAACTGGTCCCACTAAATCATAACATGACAGGCTTCTTGCAGCTGATCAAGTTCATCCAATCTGTCGTTGATTTACCCATCTAGGTTCATGCAAAGCTTAGTTTAAATTTAGCATAAAATGAAAATTGATTGCTTTGGCGACAGACATATGTTAATATTAAATGAATACAAACTATGGATAGCAGATAAAGAACAAAACAAAGCAAGCAAAAAAAAAAAGCTGCTAGGATGACGCTAAGAACAAGTATTATGACTAAAGATGCAATCAAAAAGCCTAAGACTCAAGAAATGAGAGATCATTTTGTTAGTCAATAATCATTCTTACCTTTGATCCCTTTCTTTAGTATCTAGAGATTCTTTTTTACTGATGGATACAAAGGGTCATTGGGCACAATTGTTATGAGATTTGCCAAAAGTTACATTGAAGGATAACAAAATTAGTTGTTTTAGATATAAGAATGGTTTTGTTGAACAAACTTCACTTATTCATGAGGTTAGTTTACAGTTTAGGCATGATCAACATCATGAGCCTCACAGACGACACAAAAGGCCCACACCTTGCTAAAGTTAACGAAGAGTCATAAATGCACTTATTTGGTAAATTGGGAGAAGCGGACAAAAACGGCTGTCAACATATGGAAAGTACAATCAAGAGAGTGAGTAGACTGCATTTTACAAAGTGATGCATTATACATCATCGAAGAAGATAATGATTCATTCCTGAACAAAGTCATCAAGGACGAAGTCGATAATGATAACGACAACAAATGAATATTCTTGTTTGAATGCAACGTTTCGGCTTCTTTGTCCCCTTTGTTAAATAATGTTTTACCTTTTCGTATTTATACACTTTAAAAAATATTAATACCACATGTGTTTGCCATATATGCATAATTCAAGTGACGGTTACTGTATTGCTTTTCTTTCTTTTCATAATAAATAGTATGGAACAAGAGCTTATCGAGTTATTATTATTTTCAAAAAAGGCCTTATCCACTGGTCAAACAATATGTGCTCAGGCAAATGAGTTATGCCAGCAATCTGAGAAATGTGTAGAGACAATTGAAAAGATTCATCCAAAGTTAGTATTTGTAAATAATCATATACTTGTTCAAATGGCTACTTTGGAAAAGATAAGAGAATATAATAACCTTCAAGTACAAGACTGCAATAATAGAATAAAGGCAAATAACAAAAGGATGACGAGATGACATGTTATAACTTGTTTTATAGGAAAGGGAATCTACTTTGCAATCTCTGACGATTGAGTTGACAACTATATTCAATTTATTAAAGCAGCGTACGATAGATAAAGACATATTACGAGTAAACAGAGAAAGAGATCCAGGGACAAATGATATGGGAGAACAAGTAACACTGTTTGATTATATATCCGATGAAGCCATTATTGAGCTACAGAGACAAGCAGATGATGAAATTGGGGAAATGGAAATCATCAATAACCTGTTGGAGAATCAATCCAAGAATATATCCTTGACTATATCAGAGCTGTCATCACTAAGAGAGGCAGCTATGATCATACCTTTGGATGAAGCCACAACGGCATTTTCTCATGAGAAACTAAAGATACAAGAAGACGAAATTGCAAAAATGGCGGATATCTTGACTAGTCTGACAAATCATTATGATCAGTTAGGAGAAGCAACGAGGTTATATCATTCGGACCCAGAAGCATGCGGTGAACTTGATATTACAGTATTAGAGGATGACCATGGACATATACCCAATATATTGGATAATCTAAGAGATAGCTTAGATGTCGTTGAAACTATTGCGCAAGTATAGTTGGAATCAATACAGGCTATTATCTTCTTTAACTAACCTTTTATATGTGTATATACAGAGAAGAGATTGAAGAGCGAATGCAGGTTTATTTAAAGATTCAAGATAGATTAGTCAAGGTACTTTATGAATTGGAGTATTTTGGTACAAGCGGTCAAGCAGATATTATCTGTGAAAAAATAGTAGATGCCGAATTGGAGATAAAGGACAGGGAGTGTAATCTGGATGAATTCTTCCAGCAGCTATCATCATTGGCTGAATGGTATCGATTTTATGCATCATCTTATAATTATCTCTTGCTTGAAATCGAAAGAAGAAGGAAAGCACAAGAAAAGCAAGAGATTCTAAGGAAAGAAATGACGAAAGCGCTTGAAGAAGCGTATAATGGTATGGTAACAATCTAGAATCATGCAATACTAACTTAGAAATAGATGAACTTCAAGAAAGAAGATCATGGTCAGCGCAACATGGACAATATTTACCAGAAGTGTTGTGTCCATTCATTAATGTAGTCTTTTTTTATTTCTTTTCTTTTCTGATATTTACCTTCTTTTGTGTAGGATTTGCCATCTAAATTAGCCGTTACTGTTGAATCCGAATCTGGTCGATTACCTAATCTTTCACCCGAAAGCGTCGAAAAGGTAAAGTTTAAAACAAGATGATGTTATTGCATGATTAAAATGCTATTATAGGCTTTAGCAGAGATCCATAATGTATTATGAAAAAAAAGATACTTTTTTAATGATGAAACAAACACATGAAGGGAGATAAACTATGAACAAAATATATAAAAAGATTAAAGGTCTTTAACAGTACCGGGTGTATCCGTGTCGGGAAGTGGAGTTGGTGTTGTTGAGGTTTCAGCATGGAGTATTCTGTCATTTTGTTGATCCATTAGACCATTCAAACGAGCCTACAAGTATTAAAGCTTATGATAGTTATTATAGTGTCTATGCCCTTACAAGTTCTTCTTGTAATTTTCCTTGTTTCTTTAACTCCATTCGGCGATTAACAAGCATGCCAACATTGACCATGTAATAAACTAGAAAAATATTCGTGTCAGTATTTTTACTACGCATACACACACTTATTCCTTTCACCTGTTGTTCCAGCAAGAAGAAGGACAGCAGACTTTTGCGCAATATCAGCTAAGCGACCAGTAACTGCCATGGGTGTATTTTTGAAAAAAGAGAAGGAAAAAAAAAAGAACATTGCCTTTTTTTCCCGAAATTATCATTTTGCTACTGTGATGCATCCCTGTGCAAACAGCAATATTTCCTTTTTTAATCTTCTACACAGTCTTTGTTGCATAATTCAAGAATTTATAATCCAGTATGCTTACTCGGTCGCATGCTATCGAGCACCTTCTGCTATCGGCTCCAGATTTGTCGTTTTTACTTATAAGCTCCTTTACACACTGCTTTCGGCTAACCCTGGCCTGTGCAAACTACTGGCTAGCGATGCAATTTTGCGCGACTTCCAGAACAGCCAATCTTGGGATTCGGACGCCTTTTGAGTACTCTCAGTCTCGGATGTTGTGTCGAAAGATTATCGTTCTGCTCTTTCAAGGTCGGATCATTCTGTCGCTTTTTTT